GTGGCAATGAGAAAAAATGAAATATGGCCTTTTGTAGCAACGTGGATGGAACGGAGAGTGTGATGCTAAGTGAAATAAGCCATGCAGAGAAAGACAGATACCATATGGTTTCACTCTTATGTGGATCCTGAGAAACTTAACAGGAACCCATGGGGGAGGGGAAGGAAAAAAAAAAAAAGAGGTTAGAGTGGGAGAGAGCCAAAGCATAAGAGACTGTTGAGAACTGAGAGCAAACTGAGGGTTGATGGGGGGTGGGAGGGAGGAGAGGGTGGGTGATGGGTATTGAGGAGGGCACCTTTTGGGATGAGCACTGGGTGTTGTATGGAAACCAATTTGACAATAAATTCCATATATAAAAAAAAAATGAACTGAGTTTGGCTTGGGGACCATAGTTCACTGACTTCTGGTATATAATAGATACCTATTCTAAGCTTAGTGTTTAGTTTTTATTCTAAGCTCTGGTCTAGTACTGATCATTAAGGGATTGTGGCCATGTTTTATTTGCATCATATGCACGTACTGGCCCATGTTGAGATGAAGATTTTCACATATTGATTTAGAAGGATTCCAAATATCTTAAGGTTTAAGAGTCATCGTGGGTCAGCAGCTCAATCTATGAGTTATAAAAACTATCACAGAGTTGCCTTGAAAATGTGATTCTTACACAGAATAATAAAAATTCCCAATAGTTATGTAGTATGTTAGTTTTTAAATAAATCTTTTTGTTACTTCCCATAATCGCTTAGACATGGCAGCTATCATCAAGGTAGATTACAGAAGCATTGCTCAAGATCAGTGGATGGTAGGGCCAGGCCAAGACTGCAGTCCAGCGGCAATCTGACTTTCAGGGCAGAGCTCCTTCAACACAATATGTGGTGTCATTCGAGTCAACTGAAGGTGGAGTCAGTCGTTTGAAGATTAGCTTCCTTTCTTCCTCTCTATACATGCTGCCAAAATGAGTACTGAAGATTAGTTTTCTTCAGAGGCCAGTTCTGGGGCGTTATTCTTAATAAGAAAAGTGGGCTTGTGCTGATTATTTCAAATAATTCTATTGCTGGGCATTATTTCAAAGCATTTAGGAAGACAGAAAGAAGTGTCTAAGCTACCAAAATGAATCAGACAAGTGATTTTGCATAAAAATTATAGAATATTTAAACTGGAAGGGATGTTAGAGACCATTTACTTTCAGTGATCTAATTTTAGAGGCAAACAACCTGAGACCCAGAGGAGCTAAGTGACTTAGGGGCCAGTGTAATTTAATAAAAGAACATGGTCCTAGAAGGTTATAATAGTAGTATGCTATTCTCTGGCCTGAGAAAGGCAGTTGTTAAATTTTCGGGAATTTTTGTGAGCCAGTCGTTAAATACATTCATGATTAAAAATACATAAACTCATCAATTATATTAAAAATGAAGATATATGCTCAAAATTCATCACTTACTAATCATTTTACCAGATATTTTCTTAAGTATGTTCTTGAAATTATTGATGTCTAATGTACCTGTATGGTTCAGATGCAATCTGGCGATGTCCTACCCAGCTTTGTTGAGTGAAGCGACATTGATAGCTTGAAAATGACCACAGGGGAGTATTTATACCACAGAAATAGGAAAATGAGACAAATAACACTCTACCCTTCCCGACCCCCACCACGGCGCTAGCCAGTTTATTAATATTTACCAGCATATCACTGGTCCTTACTTTTGTGTTCTATACTTGTCTGTTTATGTGCCTGGCTGCAAGACTGAGTTTCTTGAGGTTTGGAATTTATATCCTTAGGACCCAGCACAATGCTTGGCATATAGTTGGCAGACAAATGCTTATAGAATGCATGAGTAGACTTTATATTCACACAGCCCTTGATTCAGATCTGGCTTCCTCACCTACCCTAGTGGTAGTGGTATGTGACCTAAGTATGGTTGACCTTCGTTATTGTAGCCTCTCCTTATTAGTAAAATGAGAATAAGGGTTAGCAGCATTAGATGATTATTGTAAGGACTGATGAAAAGATCTAAATATACATCTAGATGGATAGTAGGTACAAAAATGTAGTAAACGTTTGTGATTATATCCTAAGAAGGAGGAGACGTAAATGCTATTAGGGTCCAGACTTAGACTATATGCAGAGCTTTGTATTAAGTGTTTGACCACGAACTGGATGAGAATCAAGAATGTGGCACTGTTATTTTTGTGTGTGTACATACTTCTCCTTCCCACACAAAATAATGGGATATATTAAAAGGAATATGATATATAAGAGGCAGGAAGCAATCCCTTTGTTATATTTGGCTTTGTTCAGGCTCTTATTACAGTATCATGTCCAGTTTTACATTGCTCATTTTAAAGAGGATGTCAAAAAACTGTATGTAGTGTGTCCTGGGAAGAACCCAACAACTATGATTAAAGGGATAGAAAATAGGTCCTTTGAGGCAAGTTTAAGGAATTGAGTTTGTTTATTCTGGAAAGGAGATGGTAAAGGAGTCACTTAACTATCTTCAAGTACATGAAGGGTTATTACAAGGAGGATACCCCAGTGTTGTTCTCCAAATGCACAGAGGACCAAAAGAGGAAATCGACTTACTTCATTTAAAGAAAATTGTGTTAAACACTAAAATTGACTATCAAGGGATGTCATGGAATCTCATTTTTGAAAATATTTAGAAAGAGCAGCAGCAGATGGTTATTTACTGGAAGGTTTACATGTTTGACCTCATGAAAGTAACAGGCAGGATTGTAGACCTTTGCAGCCTTTTCACCCATGATAGGATTTTTTCGTATTTGTGGTAGCTCACCACGTCTATGCCAGGTATCTTACAAAAAGTTCTGTAACTCTTTTGTGACAGGGAATCCTGTTGGTATATGATATTACAAATTATCAAAGCTTTGAGAATTTAGAAGATTGGTATTCTGTGGTGAAGAAAGTGAGCGAGGAGTCAGAGACTCAGCCGCTGGTTGCCTTGGTGGGCAATAAAAGTAAGTCATTAATGCTTCTTTCTGTATCGTTGTTTATCTGCCTATCCTTTAGTCTTTACAAATTTATTTAGTCTAAACAAATTTTGATGTGTAGAAACATAAAAGATACGCTTTCCTGGAGTAAGTAAATTGCTTGAAGAGAAAGTTTGCATGGATGTATACGATCTTTTCAGTGACAGTTCTGATGCTTGATCTCACTGCCCTGCTGCTTTGGCCGATTCCCGTTAAGGTAAGTTCTGTTCTGACAGTGTGTGTTTTGGCTTCCTGTGGTCTAAGGAAGCAGCACGGACTATTAAGAACAGCAACACAGCTGCAGATTTTATGATATTGCACTGCAGCTTCAGCTCTGCCCCAGAGATTTTGAGAGAGAGATTTCATTAAATGATCGCCCGTTGTAGGGAAGAGAGCAGCGTCGGGTGGAGTTTTGGGTGTGTGGTTCCTTGCTCCTGTTTCTCGCAAACATCTCTCTAAATTTTGAGATTAGTTCTAAAGTACAGATAATTTCTTGTGTTGTTTTGTTTTTTGAGAAAGAGTGTATTGGGGGAGGAGTCGTGCGTGGTGAAAAGGGTGGATAATTTTTGAGATCTGTCAGCTGGGCTATTATATACAGCATATAAAATTATAAGGCTGAATTTTGTACAGGACTGTTGGTTCATAGTCCTGCAGTGCAGTTACCTGGAAAAGGAGACCTTAATAAGGGTTTTTAAATATATAAAATATTATAATATGACCTAATCTTCTACAACTATTTGAGGTCACAAAAAGAGAAAATGAATTTAAATTATACCATGGAGGATTTAGGTCAGGAAGAGTTTCCTGACTACAAGCGTTGTTAAACCAATACCCAAGTATACTACCAAGAGAATTATCTTCTCCAAAGGTCTTTAAAAGTATAGTGCGTTTTTTTGGTCTGTAATTATTTAGGAAATAGTACTTCCTGAAGGACTAAACCAAGATTTCTTCATTATGTGGTTTTGCACACTTAGATGAACATTTAATAAATCCAAGCCTTACTTTAAAACCATTACAAAACAGGTGTGGATATCATTTCTCTGAAGAGTTAAAAATACAAATTTTATAATAGTGTCTAGAAAAATAGTATTACATATCATGAAATGGATGCCTTGGGTACAGTTTTTTTTTAAGTTTTAGGTGAATTTTACTTTTCTGTTCCGTAAATAATTCTAATTGAGTGAATCTGATGCTTTTCAATTCATTGAAATTCCCCTTTAGAAATCATAAGTTTTGGTGACCTTACCTTCTATTTCTGAGTGCAGCTTTTCATTTTAGGAGACCGACCCTTCCTTCCTTCCTTCCTTCCTTCCTTCCTTCCTTCCTTCCTTCCTTCCTTTTAATGTTTGTTTATTTTTGAGAGAGACAGACAGACAGACAGACAGACAGACAGACAGAAACACAGAATCTGAAGCAGGCTCCAGGCTCTGAGCAGTCAGCGCAGGGCTCGATGTGAGGCTCAAACTCATGGACCCTGAGATCATGACCTGAGCTGAAGTCGGACGATTAACCGACTGAGCCACCCAGGCGCCCCTAAAATTGTTTGTGTTTTTATGAAAATGTAGTAAACAGAAATTTGGACTGAAGATTGAGGATACTCTTAGGTAAGGATGAATTACAGGTTTATTTTTACTAAAAATTGTGTTTTATTATGTTTAAATATAAAGAGTAACTAGAGTAGGTTAATGAAGTAGCCAGTAGAGGAAGAGATTTGCTTTAATGAAATAGAATTAGTAATGACTAAACTATTTCAGTGTATAATACTTAAAACAAGTTTATTTTTCCATATTCTGAAAGGCTGTAAGACACTAGTTAGTGATTTTTTTTTGTAGTATAGAAGACTTTAAATGAAGTATTGAGTCATGGTTAAGATCATAGGACTTTGAATTTAGAGACTGCTTTTACAAGGCCAGGTTTTTTCACTTAACAGCAGTGTGACATCAGATAGGTTACTTTATATCTTTATACCTCAGTTTCCTCATCTGCAGGTAAAGATAGTAGTTTCTGTCTGATAAGGTTAAAGATTAAGTGAGATTTACATGGCAAGTGCTTAGCATGAGGTCTGTATACTGTAAATGCTCAGTAACTATTATCATCATTATTATTATTAATCATAATAGCCTTTAAAAAACACTGACTATAGCTTCAATTTGAGTGATCACAAATTACAAATTAGTACAGCTGAAACAGACATCTTACAAAAGTGGCCTGGAGGAAATGGTTCCTAGAGAATTCCTTTGTCACTATCTTATGCCTCATTTATTTCTTAAAAAAAATTTTTTTTAAGTTTATGTATTTTAAGAAAGAGAGGCAAACGGGGTGGGGGCAGAGAGAGAATCCCCAGCACTCTGCACTGAAAGTGCAGAGCCCGACGTGGAACTTGAACTCACGAACCGTGAGATCATGACCTGAGCCAAAATTAAGAGTCTGATGCTTAACCGATTGAGCCACCCAGGCGCCCCCCCTCCTTTTTTTTTTTTTTTTTTTTAGATTGATACTTCTTGTACCATAAGATGGGTAGGGCGATTCAGTTCAGCAAACACTCTTGAGTGCCATTTATGTGTATTCAGTTAGTCATTGTTAATTTGCACAAAGTTTCAGCTAGAGTGCTCTTAAGTAGTGAAAGGGCCTGTTAACCTTACTCTTAGTTTTTTGAGGTTGTTTTTTTTTTTTTTCTTTTTTCTTTCTTTTTTTTTTTTTTTTTAATCTGACTTCAAGTTTTCTAAAAACTTGACTGCCTTTCTTTTGCTCTGTTTGGTTGTTGGGATTAATAAATACAATTATGTCCAAATCTTCATGGAAGGCCCTACTTTTTCCTAGCAAGGTAAATATAAATTCCTGCTAGGTCTTTTCCAAAATGGGAAAGAGGGTAAGTCAACTGTTTATTCTGTGTATTTTACAGAAGTTCTCTGTTGAAGTTTGATCATGTCTGCAGCCCGATATGGGGGGAGATGACTGATAGGCACCTGGAAACAATTGTATTACCATCTAAAGGCAATTTCTGCAATTCACAGAGCCATCTTTACCAGGTCTGATACCTGGTTTCCTGGTTTTGAAAGTCTTGGTCTCCCACTTGACCAGAGCCTATACACTGCAGAACCTGGGGGTTTTCCATTCATGTCTGCTTTATGGGCTTATTACAGGTGCACCTGGCCATGGCCTAACACTGCACCATCACCTCTCACACAAATACTGCAGTAGCTTCCTAACTGTCCCTCCTGCTTCTAGCTTTGCTCTCGTACTATCCAGTTCTCTAATGGCAAATCATGGTATGCCTCTTCTAGTGCTTTCTCATCACACCTAAAATGAAACCTAAACTCTTCATCCAGGTTTACCAGACACTAGGTGATCTGGCTCCTACCTGCCTCTTAGACTTCGTCTGTGTGTTCCCTTGCCCACTCTGTGCTAAGACACACTTGTATTTTTTCCTCTACTTTAACATTCCAAGTTAATTTGTATCATAGGGTTTCTTCTGCTTGAAATACTTTTCTCTTCTGGTCTTTACTTGATTGGCTCCATTTTATCATTTGGATCACATCTTAGGTGTCATCTCCTCAGAGTTGCTTTTCTTGACCACTCAGTGTAAACGAGCCATGTAGTCCCTTTTTCTCAGGACATTCTGTCTCACTTCTCTGTGTCACCTCAGTGCCACCTGATGTTTCTTGTTTGTTTCCTGTCTGTCTTTCCCTGCTAAAATCTAAGCTCAATGAAGCATAGGGACCTCATCGCTTAGAATAGTGCCTGAATGAATGAATACTGAATGAATGAATAAAAGCCTTTTCATGAAGCCTCTGTTGGAATTAGAAGTGTTTATGGCCTGGGATGTGTTATTAAGGGCAAATGGTTTTCTTAATGAGGAAAAATACATACGTAGATACAGGGAATCTATTAGATGGCCTTCAGGCCCGGCTGGCCTACTGAATTCCACTTTGGTGAATAATGTCAGAGAGTTTCTTAGGAAATATTCTGAAGTTATATTATGCTGGATTATGTTCAAGATAGAATGTCATAGATTTTATATCATGATTTTAGGTTAAATAAATACAAAAGAATTAAGAATTTGCTTTTCCTAAAGTGACCTTTATGTAATGATAGAAAACCTACACTTTTGACTTTTTATTTATTTTTAATTTTTTTGTTTAATTTCAAAAACCATCTGCATTGAAGTAACAGTTTTCATGTTTCTTTCAGTGTTTCAGGGAAGGTTCCCATTGAAATTAAATGAACATTCAGGAATATTCATTTTTTTTAATTAATTTTAAATTCAATCCATGTTGTTATAAGCACATGGCATTTTAATTTGTCATTTTGTTATTTTCTATCTTTAAGCTGTTATGTTTTCCTACTATCTGATCCATCAGCTAGTTTCTCCCCTGACTAGCTAACATTCTCGGTTGGATAGATTGTAAACAGAAATTAACAGGGGTTGCATAGAAGCTGCCCTCTTCCTGATTTATAGTTTCTTAGTCAGTGGAGGGGTGGTGGTTATCAGTAACTTGTATTGGGGGTAGGAATTATCACGCTCCAAGATAGAGTGGATAGATGAATGATTTCTGCTCTTAAAGATATTAACCAGATCCTTTCCCAAATAAAGACTAATAACTCAGATTTTTAAACAATCTTCATGACAGATGAGGGCATCGAGAAGAGTGCATCAACACTAATTAACAATGTTGAGTGTATATTCTTCTTAACAGTGATTGATTGTTCTTGGAGTACTATCTCTGCCCAGGAAGTGATGTGTTACACTGTGAGGTTCAAAGGTCACATTTTAATGTACTCTGTAGTTGTGTTCCCTGAACTCAATGGAAATGTATTAGTAAAACAAGTACATTTCAGGTTGGAAAATTTAACTGATACCCTCAATAAAATTATGACAATTTTTTTAAAGATTACTTTTAGTGATAGAGGAGTGTGAAGAAATGGTTATGCATCCGGCTTGAAAAGTTTCATGGGAATTTACATGAAAGTGCTTGCCTATACTGTGG